ACCTACAGCAGAGTCAGGCTGGATCCATCAAAAGTGATTGTCACTTGGCATGCACACATTGCTTTAAGCTGTTTGGTGTGAAATTAAGCTCCCAGAGACCAAACAAATCAGAGAGAAATCTGGCGGCATTATCTCAGTAACCCTGTATGCTCTTACAGCATGCTTGCTTTTATCTAAACAAAGGAGTCTGTATTTTTAGCTGACTGAGGGCTGTACTTGCTGTACTTGAGTCCTGTCCCCAGAGCATTTTCTGACATCTTTCAAGTGTTGCACACTTGGGTTTATTTGACCATAACTTGACACAGTCTGAATCATTTTTAATAGTCTTTGCTTGCAGTATTGTCCCCCTAGTACTTCAGTAAATGTAGGCTACTTAACTACAGCACATTCCATCACAGCAGCAGAAAATTTATATATACATAAAGGTGAAAGACCCTTAAAATCATAAACATCAAAATAAAAGTTAATTAAGGGTTTTTCAGAGGTTTAGTTGTTGGCATTTAAAAGCCTCTTGCATATCTGAAATATAATTAATAACTGAGGGATTTGTACCCTGTACTTAATTTTGGGCTTTTTGGATTAAGGTGTTTTAAAGTAATGGACAAATTACAGAATATTGTAATTCAGGAGTTGATTAAGAAGTTGTTAATGGAAAGGGATTCTTCTTTCTGGTGAGACTATTTAGCAGCTAGTTGCTAACTTTCTATGTATGTCATTTTCACTAGGGCAGTACAGTGGGTTTATTTAAAAAAGACCCTGAAAAAAACAAATGAATGAGCCACAGGAAGTAAAAAATATCCACAGAGTTCTTAAATTGAATGTTTCTATCAAAAATATAGATTAAGGCAGAGTTTAATAGTATTTTTACACTTGACAAAACAGTTGGGTACAGTTTGTATTGTTGAGCTTAACCTTGTTCTCACTGGCCATGGTGCTGGCTCAGTCTTGACCTCATTGTTAAAAGGAGTTCGGTCTAGACCTGTGTGTCCTAAGATAACTTCTGTTGTGAATTGGAGCTATACAAATAACATTGAATTGAATTGAATTGGACCTGGTTTTAAGCTGACATGGGATCAACCCAGGCCATTCTGTCTGCAGCCAGCACTGACTGACAGTTTTCGCACAGCATAGCTCCTGACTTAAGCTCACATGGAGTGAAAAATCACAGTGACACACACTTTACTTATCCGCATGATAAGTGCTATAGATTTTAGTGTTAGCTTATTGATGAACTGACTAAAAATGAGTTATTATGCACTTTGCCAATTGCCTGTTAAGCAGAATGTCCACAGCACTCAATCAAGGTATGGCCAGGAGCTATGCTTTGATCAATGGAGACTACAATTAAGATTTTTCTTTAGTATCAGGCTGCTTGGCCTAAAGGAACTGCTAACTGTAGAGAAAATCATGTGCAGAGAAACTGGGAAAACAAACATCTTAAGACTCTCTGTCCTCAAAAGCAGAGGCAGAAATGAAATGTGTCTAAAAATATAAACCTGAAGACTTTTTAGTTTTACTACATTTTTCAAAACATGCAAAAATAAATGAAAGAAGAACTGTCTTTCATTTTTGCCTGTTTCATTATAAATCCAAAGGTCTCATCAAAACTCTTAATATCTTACATCAAATTATAGTAATGCTTAGACAAAGTCTGGTTATTGAAATACAAAGTTGCCTGAAATCAAAATACTTCCCAGAAAGGTAAATCCTATTTGGCTGGTCAATTAAAGAGGCTAATCTGTAAATACTAAGGCTAAACCCCTCCAGTGTTTAGAATGAATCAGAACCAGACGTGTGCCATTAAGGTTTGGTTAAGTGGAGTGTGATTTGTCAGCATTGTCCATTTACATTTTCCTGTTCTTATGTTGTTTTTCCACAGCAATGATGTGGAGGAGCAGACTGCATCAGTGGGGAAATCTGAGTCATCGCTCTCACTTTTCAGGACCCCCCTCACACCTTTCAGATATCGGATTAGTGGATTTATGTCCGACCATTTCCGCAACTTTCCCACATTTTCAGCCACTTCGCGCTGTCATTGGCCACCTGTGGGGAGGTGAGAAAGGAACCAGGGTTTGAACTTCTTTAGCTTATTTTTTTCATTCCTTACACAACTATTTCTGTCACTTTTCATGAGCACAACCTGGTGCAAAAAACTGTGAATGCATTCCAGGAGAGACTGTCTGAAAAGGTGTGCTGTTCACGCCTTCCAGTGTGGCCTTTCGGAACACCTATAAACTTTTTTTGATTTCCGTTGTGGTCAGACAACATGTTATATGATCAGACATAAACTCTGTGTGGCGTTTACATGTCCTGCCTGTGGAGAACATGTACCCAGAGTTTGTGTGGGTTTCCCTCCACTAACCCAAAGAGAAATATCAGTTGGATTTAAGGCGGTGAAATGCTGATGTGCATGAATGTGACAGTCTCTTCTTATTATCACTACGACGGACAGATTTCCAGGTCATGAACAGATTTCCAAGACACTTGTCTTCTGCACAATGTATGCTGGATTGAAATAGGCTTGAGCTCATTGTGATTTGTATTACAAAGAAATGTTAAACCAGAAGAGTCAATGTCAACAACTCACCCCATGCTGGCTCTAATTTGTCAAAGTGAAGCATCAGAGGCCTAATGCCAATGAGATGTGCGATACAGATCCCACTAATGGCTGCTCATTCTTTTCCAAAGACAAATTATCCACAGCAAATGACACTGAGTCCATTTTCTGAATAGAGTTCTAGGTTTTTAAGTCAAGTGATCTTCTAATCTATTAACTTTTACATCTGTCATTGTCATCAATCATCGTTAACGTATGGCTTTCTATTGGTTTGTGTTGTTTATCACATAATATTCTGCACAAAGGTAGGAATATTAAATGTCCTGAGGTCATTTTGTATACACCTGTGCATGCATCTATAACAAGAGACTGTACTGATGCTATAGTGGCATTTCCATTACATGTATCATAAATTGGATCGGCTCTGTGCCACTTAGTAGTGCGAATACGTCCACCAACAATTTGTCAACAGATACCAGTTCCACGTGTCAGAATTTCATTGCAGCTTGAAATGTTTTTCCATGCCTCATTACCGACCTGTTTTACATGCGGTAAAGCACACACATTTTCCTGAGCTGGTACATGAAAAATTATTTTTTAAATTCTTGTCACTTTTAAGAGTTTTAGCCTATTATCATATTATCTGGCCAGCTGAGACAATTCCACATTTGTGTCTAGGTCTGTTTTTCTACCGCTGTAACAGAAAAATACTACTGGGCAGAATGAGCTTAAAGTGCATCTGCAATGCTTCATTTGATCAGTAATAGAGGATTTGTCTTTTCTCTTTTTAGAAACACAGAATTTAATGACATGACATGACTCCATTCAGTTTGTATGCCTTTCACAGAGAGGTGATGTCCATTGCCATGACAACCCTTTGGCCAGCGGGAATCAGTTTTTTCCTTGCACCATGACCCACCCACCCCTTTTGATGAAGGTATGATAACCCCAGTACAGGTTATGGTTTGATGTACTGAACAGAAAGATTTTACATGGGAAGAAGTTCAATCTAAACACACACACACACACACACACTCTTGTATGAAGATGATGGATGAAGCCTTCTCTCAGAAGGAAGCACATACCTTTTAAGTGAAGGAAAAGGTTTCACACTTTAAAATCTAGCCAGAGAGGTGAAGACTCCAGTTTGATGGTGAAGCTCCATCCAGCCTGACCAAAATGACGGAGGTTGCAGAGATCAGGAGCAATCCTCCTTGTCATTTATCATGTGTGTCTGTGAGCAGGTATTTGAACCCTAACACTATTCTACCCTGTCCTTCAGTTCTGGATTTGTGTCAGGATATAACCCAGTCCAGGGCAAAACTACAGTTCTCTTTTATGGTGTGAATGATGCATTTCTTGCTTGGCTTTGAGAAAAAAAGGTTACTTGAAGTGAAGCACTTCTGTGCTGCCTCATCAGATACCTTTTGTTTTTTGTGGTTGATTTGCTAGCCTGTGACTCTATTCTGGGATACATGGTAAATGGGAATTAGTTACTTCTGAACTAATGCACATCCTTCTGCATTTGAAGAAGAAGGAGGAATGAAAACCTTTTTTGATGATACAGGAGTAAATAATCTGCATTTGTACCAGCGTTGGTGCCTGTGTGGTGAAGAGGAGAAGAATGTTATCTCTTCACTGGTCTCGTTGACCTCAACACACTCAGCACAGGTGATGAGGTGGCCCTGGCACATATTAATGATATTACTACCTATCACTCTACTAATCCTCACTGAATACAAACATGAGTCAAGGCCAGTCTCTAAAATTAAGAGAAAAGGTCCTCCTAAATACCTAAAATTGAATAAAAGAAAAAAAAGAGAAAGAATCAAAAACAGAAATTGGATAGACAATCCAATGTAACTGTGGCAAAAAAGAGTCAGTCTCATTGCCACAAAAGCTCATTAGAGCTGTGGGTGTTTAATTCCTCCTGTTTACTGTAAAAAAAACAAATTCATAATATATAAAGGAATTAAGACATGAAGCATGACAAGACACTGCATGTAATAGCCAATATATTCATTTCTGTATATACTGAAAGTTCAGTTCAAAAGACATAAATCAAATACCTAAAGTCTAAAAGTTTATAAAACTTCTGGCATACGTGGAACTTAATCTTAATCCATCCTCAACACTCAACCATATAAAATATGTTTTATTTGTAGAACTATATATATATATTTCAAGCAGCATGAAGGGATCTCCACACTGACTTTCATTATGCTATACACCAATCATCAAAACACACCTTGAGAATACACCTTACCTTCAGTGTACCAGTGTAATCACGTGTTTAACGCTTCGCCACGTTTGCCTCGTTGACGTTACGTTCAAACTACGGCTTGCGTCAGAAACTCCTTCCGGTGGTCACGTAAGGTAGGCTTCAGGCATGAACAGTGCAGCAAATAAGGGGGCATAGGTTCGAGTCCCGTAACAGGCAGCAGTGGTGTGTAACTTCCGATGTGTTCGTACACTAACCGCATGTTTCAACCAGGCCAACAGCTCGATTCCTTTCTGGCGTTTTGTTCTTTTTTCTCCATGTTTGCTCGAGCAGGATGTCTTCCCAGGGTGGCATGGACCGGCTGCCGAAGGTCATTCCCCGCTAACTTCACTAAACGTAGAGCCAGTTAACGTTAGGTAGTTTAATAAATCCGCCACAGACCTTTATGCAGCCGTGGAGACGTACCGTTAACCGGGGACCTCATTTTCGGTTCACATAAGTTGTAATGGCTAATGTAACCCATTTACCACCGCATGCGTAAGGTACCTTTGCCATGCTGACGTGTTTCATAGCAACTTCTCATGATTCCAACTTCAATCTGTTTTAAAGTGCTTTGGTCACTGACAAACACACATTGTCTGTAACCTGTGCGGTTCAACATGTAGCTGTGGTAAATTCGGCGTGCATGTGATCCATCAACAACCCGTTATTTCACACAAAAAAGTCAACCTTTATCATTGGCACGCCTGTGTTTTAAACGTTACCTAACGTTACCTCTGCTGTCTTCCACCAAATGTTTAGCGCTGGGCAGCAGTGAAGCTACTACAATCATTTAGATTTAACTGAAACAAGTACTAGTAAGATATATGAAGTGAATGCCGAATTTACAACAAGGTGTTAAAGATTCGTTAAACATTTACAGACAGGTTTTGCGACCTGTTATTCGCTTATAAATTAGCGTGCCGTCTTGATATTGAAAGATTTTAAAGGGAGTTTGGCGTGTCGCCTACCCACGTCATTACTTGTGCTAGTAAAGAGCATGTGTACTCCTAATCCTGGATTACCTAACACATAAACCTTACTGCGGGTGTTACAAGGAGTGAAACGACGGTATTTAAGACGTGATAGAATCAGTACCTAGGACTGTAACAATGGAAACCTTTTTTTTCAGACCAGCAGTTATCCTCCAGTTAAATATTATTTTGGTGCTAATTATTAGCCTCCAGGTCGTCTCTTCCTGTTATGGCTACTCGTTTTTAAGGTTATTGCAGGAATTTGGCAATACTCTGTTGTCCTTGTAGTGTTAGTTACATTCAGAGAGACCAAATGCTTTAAAGTACTTTATAGTCCAATAATGTCCTTTTGTGTTTTTCAGAATGGGGAATTTCACATCCTCCAGTCCTGGGGTGTCCGGCACAACCTGTGCTCAGTATGTTCAGGTGAGTAGATGCTTAGAGATCTGAAACCTGAACTCAACTTGTTTTAAAGCTGTTGATACAGTAATAGTGTGCTGTGGAAGACTGAAAACTTTAACCTTTATTCACTTCATTAAAGCCTTCCCCTATAACTTATTCGGGTCCATCACTGTCCAAACATGCTTTTAGCAATTATGTTTTCATTGTCTGTGTTTTATTGTAATTGGTATTAATTGTTATATTTATATAACTTTAACTGTTCTGTGCTTGTTGTAGGTTTGTCCTTTGTGTTGTTTAAATGTTTAACACATATTGGGAGCGTGCTGAATGGTGGAAAAGCAATATGTTTCAGTTATTTTCTATTTCTCCCAATGTTGACTTCCTGCCGTTTCCCACAGTCCACCACCGTACGTTGGACTTTGTTCAGTTTGTCCCAGTATGTTGCCTCCTGTTTTTATTTTTCACTGTACATTTTACAACAACATCCAAAAGCTATGACAGACGAGGCGCTGAAACGGTGCGATGCTGATTCCCACACCCTTGCTGATTATTATTTTATCTAGTCTAGTAGTCTACATTTCCCATATGATGAGATGAGAGTTAAATTTGAATTATAATGTCTCAAGTTCTGTTTGTGCACCATCTGTCATTGTATACTCAGACAATGTAAATCTTTATCTATTTATTTTGGACGTTCAGAGTTATGCTTCCTTTTGCCTTTGCCTAGCAACTCCCTTAAGGCCTGGTATGTGCAGTCTATTTCTGTGTTCTACTGATATTTAATTAAATCTTATTTTTGCCTGACCTTTCAGGAGGTGGTGTCACAGAACTGCGTTGTGATATTTTCCAAGACCACCTGTCCTTATTGCAAAATGGCCAAGAATGTGTTCAATGAAATTGGTGCGACCTACAAAGTGATTGAACTGGATGAGCACAATGACGGGAGGAGACTGCAAGAGGCCTTAGCTGAGATGACTGGTGCCAGAACGGTAAGAGCCTAATGTTGTATTTTGGGATCGGAATTCAAAGTAACTTCACAGCCTGTTATTTCAGAATCTATTTTAAAAAAGAATCAAAACATGGATATTTGAGAGCTTGTTTGTTCTGGCAGCTCTGCATTTAAGTTAAATTTAGGGCGACTTGTCTAGTGTTGTTGTTGTTGGTGCTGCTGCCAAGATCTAGGACATTATCTCGATCAAAACCGCTGAATCTGAGTCAAGAAAAAGACCAGAGCAAGCTCCAGCTTTTTCAGGCTGTAGTCTTAAATAGTAGCACATATATTGGAAATTACATTGTAGAAGTAGTGATAATTTGATGATAATTATGACTCATTTTCTGTATGTTTGAAATAAGATCCCCCGAACAGTAAACTTACTATTCTAAACAATAAACTACAGTTTACATGCAAGTTATTTGAAAAACAGTCTTTATCTTATATGGTCAATATATATTTGCACTCACTGCAGCCTCAGTGTTATTTCTCTTTTTTTTTTTTTTAGACAATTGTAAAAGTTGTTAATGAGCTTTAAAGTTTACATGGGTCAGAGCTATTAACATGATAAGCTTAAATTATTGATGTGAATAAAAGTTAAACTGGGAAAATGTGATTCCTGAAATTCTCCACCTCTGTTGGAGTCGTGCTAACAGCTTTCAGAAAGACAACAGACAACTAAAAATGTGGCCTTCACAAAAATCTAGACTACACTACGACCTACTGAACACTAAAAATGAGAAGATATGTACACTGCTCTTTTATTTTATGTTGATTCTGGCGGCCCCTGTGGACAAAAGCAGTAATGTTTCTACCACCTTGTTTCATTAATTCCAAGGCAAAATCTGACATTCAGATTAATTACATAGAAACAGAAACATAGAAACAGCCAGTCTCCTCACTGGTGGTCTAGTTTTTTCATGTAGGTCATACAGAGGCATCAGTATTAAACTGAGACTGTTTCATAACCAGTTAAAAACTACTTTTATGTTTAATAGGAAGGAAGAACCAGAGAGTTGGGGCTTAGCAAACCCATATAATGTTATTCAGTCCATCTCTGTGAGCTCGGAGTCACTCACACACACGCACACACACACCGCACACACACACCGCTGGTAAAGGAGAACAGGCTGATCTTTATGCAAAGCATGTTGATGAAAGTTAATAAGAGTCACAGCAGTTAGAGCTCTGCACTAGACCTCATTGCTCGTAAAAGAACTGCTCTCACCACACCGTGCTAATGTTGTGGCGTGATTTTTGTGTTCAGGTGCCAAGAGTCTTCATTAACGGGAACTGCATCGGGGGTGGCTCCGATACCAAACAGCTCCATCAGCAGGGAAGGTTGTTGCCCCTGATCGAACAGTGTGCTCCCTGCTGCGCTGCGACCGGCTCCGAGGGCTCGGGCAGCGGACAGTTCGAGTCCACTAAATGACTAACCGTTCTTGTAGTGTTTTTCAATCCTGTATTAATTAAATATTTGCTTGATCTCATGCTACACGTCGTACATTGGTTGAACACCACTATGCTATTTATTTCTCAATGTGTATTGGATACTTGATGTTAGGCTACATACAATTTCATCCAGGGATGTACAGTATTATTATTATTAAAGCTGCCATGTTGTAAACAAACCCTGTGAATAATGGCACTGCTTCTCATACCTCTCTTCTGCATGGTGGTTTTATTGTACAATATTACAGTCATTAAAAAGCACGATCTAAGCGTCATCGGTGAACATCATCAGGTCATGAAGTATCGACAGTTTGATTCAATGCCCGTCTTCTTTTAATGAGTTTATTTGAGGTCTTTCTCCATATCTTGTAAGAACTACAGATTTTTGTAAGAACTAGCACATTTTACTGTTCTAAGTATTTCAACATCACAGCCTACTGAGAAATGTGAAAAATATAACAATTTTATATTTTTTTACTTGGTTGTAGCATTTTATATGTGTATCTTTTAGCAGTAGCTGTTTTTGTGAACTGGTATGTATTATATATTATGTGGGTAGTTGGTTTATTAGTGTATGAACAATCATGATGCTGTTCAGTGTTTCAGTGTAGATTTATTGGCGTATGTGTGAAGTTATATCCACTCTTAAACGATTTATAAATGCCTTGAATGTATATGATTATTAATAAATATGAATGAAAGTCTATCAGCTTCCCACGTCTCTGCATTCTTACCGAAGAGTGCTTCATTTTGCACCCGTCTCGTTGTAGGAGGGCGGATATTGGTCCAGGTTCATAGGACACCCATTAATAAAACCGGGTATTCACTGTCAGGTTTTTCTTCGCAAAGATTTATTAAATGATTACACTAAAAAAAAAAAATATCGTCGCTAATGTTTGGAATAACATCAAATACTTGTCTCCGTCTCAACGGTGTACCCCCGTGGAGTAAAACGCGCGCACACACACAGCCCACATCGCCACCGCGTCACGGTGAGGTCACTCCAGTTGAATTAGCTCGACTAGCTTCTCGTATATGTGCACGGCAGGTCGAATAAACGACATCGTAAAGAAATGGCTGGAAGCGCAGGAGAGTGGTGTCTGATGGAAAGTGACCCCGGCGTGTTCACGGAACTGATCAAAGGCTTCGGTGAGTTGGTTAGCTCCCCGCTGGCCGCTCATTCAGCGTAACGTGGCTAACCCGACCGCTAGCTGCTGTAAAGCTAACGGTGACTTCCTAATTACTATCAGCACAAAGGAGGGAAAAACATAATCTCCGAGGATGAAACCGAGCTGTGCTAGAGGCTATGCGCTGCCAGCGTCAACCCTGCACTAATATGCACGTTAAAAACAATCCCCAGCTATCTTAATTAGGAGAGCTAAGTGGCTAGCATTACTCAGCGTTCAAAACAACGGCGCCTGAATGGTGACAGTGGTTGC